TATCCACACACAAAAATTTCTCTTATTTACATGGATTCTTAGGTTTTCTTATATTGTTCTCTTGAGTTCTTTTTCTGATTGTTGTAAAACATATTCTCAGTAGCCAGCAGTGTTCCCATTTAGAACTGAGGGCCAGGAAGGCGCTACATCACCACAGATGGATTCACGGGTCCACAGTGTGTTCACAATTGCTTCCAGCACTGAATTCTAATAACAAATGCTGCTGCAAATATCTCTGTGCATGCCATTTTTCTCCTCTGAATTATGTCTGAGGAATAATGTTCCAGGTATGGGGTTAAACACCAAAGGATGTAAGCATGCTTTTACTCTTGCTAGGCGTCCCCTCTTCACCCCAGGAGCAACTTTACAGGTAATTGTCCATTCTCAGGCCTTGGTGCTGAAGGCAGGTCAGTGGTAACAGGTTCTAATTACACTGATCTTCCTATCTAGTAAGGCCAGCTACTGAGCCTGGGGATGATGGTGGAGTGCTGTATTGCCTACATGACAATTTTAGATTGCTTCTCTCCCCTCCTGCCTCCATCCCTAAGGTTATTTTTACACAATGTTCCAAGTTCAGCCAACCATTAACGAGTCTTGGGTTTGTGTAAAGAATATTCTGAACATGTTGTAACCATCGTCTCACTCAAAAGCTCTGAGCCTTAATCAGACAAATGAGGGGTGATGGTTCCCACTCTAAAAATGATTCCTGAATCACTTCCTAATGAGTAGTGGTAAGGGCCCTGCTGTGTTGGTTTGCAGATTGCCGAGGGCCTGGGAGGAGGGCTGAGGGGGCACATGCAGACCATTCAGGCTGAAGCTCCAATTACTGAGATAAAGCACCCAGTACAGAGTCATCAGGAATGAAGACAAAGTACAAATAACCCTGGCAAGAAAGAACATGAAGATGAGAGGGTGGTCCCTTTATGACAGATACTGTGAACATGTGGCACCATTATGAGCTCATCAGGCCACCATGTAAGTACTACTGCCCTGAAGCAATCATATTTGTCAAGCCACACAGGAACTGGATACAGACGCAGGCTCTTCAGACATAACAGCCCCACTTGGCTGCAGACAGTAGATAAGCCAAAGAAAACTGTAATCAACTGCCTTTTTCTGTTCATCTTTGGCCTTCTATGGTTAACAAAGATAGTTACAGCCCAACTGCACTGACAAGTTCATAGCCAATCTTCCTTTTCAGTAACAGCATCTTCTGTTGCTGGGTCCTTGTAGCTGTCGGGGCCTCAGGTATTGGGGTAACACCTGTGGAACCTCATCATCCCCTCCAGGCTGAGTCACAGCCCCATAGGGAATGCACATCACTGTACACTAGTGGCTCTGAATGGAACCATGCCTGCTGTTTGCAAGTGCAAGGTGAAGTTCAAGGCTGTGACCTGTGCCCATATCAGTACCAGCATGCTGGAATTCTTACTGGTGTCTTTTCTGAGGAATACTGCCATTTTTATTTTATTATTATTTTAAAAAATATTTTATTATTTTTATTTTATGTGTATGAGTGTAAAGGCCTGCATGCATATAAAAACACCTGTGTCCTGAAATGCCCATGGAGGTCAGAAGAGGGTATCAGATACCCTGGAACTGGAGTTACAGATGACTGTTAGCTGTCATGTGGGAGTTGGGAACTGAAAATTTTTTTATTTTTATGTGTATGAGTATATTGCCTGCATGTACGTAAGTGCACCATGTCATACAATGCCCATGGAGGTCAGAAGAGGGCATTAGATCCTCTGGAACTGGAGTTTCAGATGGTTGTCAGCTCCCATGTGGGTACTGGGAACTGAACCCAGGTCCTCTAAAAAAGCAGTCAGTGCTCTAAACTGTGGAGCCATCTCTCTAGCCATTTTTTAATACAAAATGGAGACTTCCAGGGATACAACAAGGCAGGCTAAGTGGCTCTGAGAAGCAGCATGGGAAACCTGGAGACAAGCCAGAATGTGTAGAGAAGCCCTGGGTACAGAAACAGGGGCCCACTTCCCTCAAGGCCTAGATGGCATCTCTGAGTCTGTACACAAGGCCTGTGATGGTTGGTGTTGATTGTCAACTTGATAAGATTCAGAATCACTATGAAAACCAACCCTTGGGCATGTCTATGAGGAAATGTCTACATAGGGTTAACGGGTGCGGGAAGACCCTGGTTGTTGGTGGCACCATTCCGTGGGTTGGGAGACTGGACTGAATGAAAAGGAGAAAGGGAGCTGGGCAGCAGGTTCATTGCTCTCTGCTTCCTGACTTTGGATGCAATGTGGCCAGCAGCTTCAAGCCCCTGCTACCATGACTGCGCCCTGTTCTTTTGTCAGGTACTATGTCACCACAACAAGGCCTAAGGGGCATCTCCTTCTTAAAGTGGGCATTCCCTGGGGTCCACACTAGGGGATGCAGCCTAGGAGGGCTTGGGAAGGAAGAAAAACAGAGGGAGGGAAGAAGAAAAGGAGGGAAGGAGGAAGAGAGGGAGGGAGGAGGAAAGGAGAGTGAGGGAAGAAGGGAAGAAGAGAGGAAGGGAAGGAGGGAGAGAGGGAAGTAGGGACAGAGGGAGGGAGAGAGGGAAGTAGGGACAGAGGGAGGGAGGACTTTGTTGTACGCCCTGATCTGAAACTCCAGTCTACTGTGAGCCAAAAAGGAGTCAAGGCATGGCAGCTCCTGGAAAATGAGCCTGCGTTTCCGCCTAACTGATTTCACTGGCTGGCGTATGCAAATGTGACTCTTAATGAAGGTAGGGCTTGTTTTGTGGGCTTAAGAGCTGAACACTCAAGTGAGATCAAGGAGAAGAACTAGAGTTCTTGCTGCCTACATGCACAGCATGGTTCCTAGGGGGCTGGGAATTCACAGTCAAATTTCGTTGTCAAAATTTTCAAGAGAGGAGATTAACTTCAGGCACAGAGCAATCTGTGTGTTCTCAGCTGTGTTTTACAGAGAGCAGTTGTGTATCCGCTGCTCTTCTGTGTTTATGCACTGAGGTATTCAACTGAAGACAGATGCTTTGATTGAGGGGGAAAAACCCAAATAAACAAATCACTTTCTCTGTCAATCAGATCTTAACAGCATTGAGAGATAATGACCAAATGCAGGATAGAGTCTTGCATCTTCCCATAGTTAAAAGACCATTTTAGTATCTAATAGCTAGGAAACAATGACAGAAAGAGGAGGCTTCCTATCTCAGATTAATAGCCAGTGGTCTGGCAATGGTCTCTATGCTCCCAAGGTCAAAGACCTCCGCCTCAGCAGCTTTGGGCTTCCTCCTCCACTAGCTTTCAGGGCTCTACCCATACTTGGTGGCTCCCCCTTCCATTTTCTAAACAAGGCTGGGCACACTCACCCTGGGGCCTTTGCGCTTGCTGTTCCCTCTGCCTAGAACATCTGGCCACTCACATTTATTTCCCTTTGCTTTTAACTTTATCCTCTGTGTCAGACTTTTTGTTGGCCATCCGAGCTAAAATTTCATTTGTCTTCCAACACTGTATCTTCTTTTCCTGCTTCATTTTCTCTTCCCTTAGCTTAACCACTAATATATTTGCCTTATGTAAATCAGTGCATGGTCTCTCTTCTTCTCCAAGCTGTCCATTTCAGGAAGGTGAGGATTTTTGTCTGTTTTGTCCTCATTGCACATACAGCATTCAGTATGTGAATAAATTATGGTCAATGAATGTAACATCTCAGAAACGGGGGCTTCGGTTTTTCTGGGGGCAGCCCTGCCACTCAGGCTGAGCAATTCCATCCATTCTCGCTTACTAAGGCTTTGGGCACTGAAGGTTAAAGTCCTTGGCACTAGTACCTGAAGTTCTGAAATTTTTAAAAAGTCCAACACAACTGTTGTGAGGTACAAAGTCAGAGATCTGCTAAGGATTCACCAAGCCCATTTCTTCCTGCCAGAATCTTGGACAGTTCTATTGCTCAGCCAAGGAGACAGTCAAGTGGCCAGTGCCACAAAGGTTGCACTGCCTCCCATCACTCAGGCCCAGTTCTAAGATGTCCCTGTGACTATCCTCTCGCTCTCTCCTCATTGCAGGCTGAAGTGAGGGGGAATCTGAGGTCCTCAACCATGGCAGAAAGAAAGGATGGGAGGAAGCTGTCCTGGAAACCCTGGAAGACTGGGTTGGACACACCCTCCCCATTTGCCACCTCCCATGCAAGGACCATGTGGAAAGTGTGAAACAAGCCTTGTGTTGAGCCACTGAGAACTGGAGGCTGTTTATTAGAGCAGTCAGAACTTACTCCAATGGCACAGGTGTCAAAGCCATTACATTTGGAGGTGCCACACTAGGCAATGCTGCACTTGGTTCTCTGATAAAAGTCACATTCTAAGTGAAACCTAATTTGCCTTTTCCTAACTAGACGTTCAGCCTTGCTGGACTTTTTTGAAAATGAAACTGAATTGTCAAGCGTGAGATAGGAAGGGATGAGAAGGGGCTGTTAATGAGTTTAACCATTTTCTTCCTTAAATAATAAGTTATAATTGCAATTATACACACCTTTATTATTATACATATACCTTTAATCCCAGGACTCAGGAGGCAGAGGCAGGAGGACCTCTGTGAGTTTGAGGCCAGCCTAGTCTACAGGGCAAGTTTCAGGGCAGCCATAGTGAGACCCTGTCCCAAAACCCCCCAAAAAAGAAACAAATAAGTTATGATTGTAGGCAGTAACTGAGGTGATCTTTGCTGGAAAACTTGCAGGGAACTTTCAGGAACAAGTTTTGAGGCTCTGAAAACTTACACCGGCCACTATGGTCATTAGTGTGCAGGGGACGCAATGTGACAGCTACCGTGTCTATATTCTGGGCTGCTACTTTCCATTTGGAGTTTTTAGGACTAGCAATAATTTCTAAACATGCTGAAAAGCATATACTCCTTGGGTCAGGGAGCTAGACCAACATCGACCACACCACACTGGCATTGCCAGGGCCTGTCGTTACTCCCTGTGCACAGCAGAAGTCACCACATGGGACAGCAACAAACAAGCATGGAAATACAGTGAAATGTTACCTGTCCTGCTAGCATTTCATACAATAGCACGCCGTACGCCCACCAGTCCACAGATTTTCCATACGGCTGGTAAGCGATGATCTGCATGAAAACAAACACATCAATTATATGGAGTGGTCAATCAAATGGCTCCTATCTGAAGAGCTAAGTCAGGCAGGCAGGCATGTAAACATTCTTGCCAACAAGGCAGTAGTAAGTTCTGTCTCTTATTTCTACATGAGGGAAAAGGAAGGACCCTTCAAATGGGGTAGACTGAGAACTGCCATTAGGCAACACATTGTCCACATCTTGTTTCCAGACTCTTCCTTGGAGATGTGACCCCACTGACTGAAGGCAGCTCCAGTTACCCTTATTGGTGAAAAATACTTGGATACTGAGTCAGATTTACTGTGTGCAAAACAAGAGGTTGATTGCAAGCTGGGATCTGAAACCTAAGGTGATAAAACTGTGTAACTGAATTTTATGAAAAGGATGATGTTGGGGCTGGAGAGGTGGCTTTGCGGTTAAGAACACTGGTTGTTCTTGCAGAAGACCCGGGTTCAAATCCCAGCACCCACAAGGCAGCTAACAATTGTTTATAACTCCAGTCCCAGGGGATCCGAGAGCCTCTTCTGACCTCCATGGCATTGCACAACATGGATGCACTTACCTACATGCAGGCAATACACATATACACATAAAATAAAAATTAGTAAAATTTAAAAAAAAGAAAAATAAGGATGATGTGGTATGGAGAAGACTAAGGGGGATGACTAAAGCGGAAATCCCAGTTCTCAGGTTGCTCACAGAGGCACAGTGATAATACATCTAGTTCACTAAATAGCTGAAGTTTTTAAATGTCTCGAAAAAGCAACAAAATGCATTATTTGGACCCTGCTTGACTCAAATCAACAACTGAAAAAAAGAAATCTCAAGACAATTAGGAAAAGTTAACAGTCTGTATATCAGATGACACTAAGGGATTATTGTTCATTTTATTAGGTGGTGTCACGGTGTGGTGACTAGTTAAAAAATGTCCTTTTCACTCAGGGATGGACAATATCAATGTAGGAGAGATGAAGTATTTAGAGGTGAAATGACATGCTGTCCTAACTTTCTTTAAAAATGCTTCAGTAGGAGCTAGAGATGGCTCCATGGTTAGAGCAGTGGCTGCTCTTGCAGAGGCCCTGGGTTCAGTTCCTAGCACCCACATGGAGGCTAACAACCATCCATAACTCTAGTTCCAGAGGATCTGATGCCCTCTTCTGGTAGGTGTTTCACACATGTGGTACATGTACATACATGCAGGTAAAACACTCATAAAATAAAAAATAAATTGTGCAAGGCTGTACTGTGGATTTGAATTTCTAAGTGGCATGACTGATCAAAACATGGGCTTCATCGCCTCTGCTAGGTGGTGTGCAGCATGTAATACCCAGACCTGCAGACCTGGTTCCACAATTCAGGGTAAAGCCAGACGGTGATACCCAGTGTTTTCCTCTATTGCTCTTCACCCTGTTTTTTGAGACCGGGTCCCTTATTGAACCTGGAGTTCACTGATTGAGCTAGGCTGGCTAGTCACTGAGCTCCAAGGATCCACCTGTCTCTGCCCCTCCAGCCCCCAACCCCTAGATACATGTTGCCATACCCAGCTTTTAAGTGGGTGCTGGGCATCTGATCTAAGGTTCTCAGGCTCATTCATCACCACACTACTGACTGAGCCACTGCCCCAGCCCCAGCCCCAGCCCCAGCCCCAGCTGAGGACTTTTTCCAATGGCCCAGAGTATCTAGTTAAATTAATAAGAAAACTGTGTGTGTCTTCTCACTCCCATTTCTTAACTCAGTACCAATATTCCTCCACATGGAATGAGACACAGAAGTCCTTTTGGTTTGCTTCAACTCAGGTCTGACAAAGGCACCTGTTGGGGTCTGTGACAGCTGTGCCCCTCATTCCATGAGAAGGATACCATATGATGCCTATTGGAAACTAGAAGGAATCCTTAATTTCTGATACTACACTTGTTCTCGGCTGCAAACTTAGAACATAAGCATACACAGAACCAAAACTGAAGTTTCTAATCTATTGGTTGGTAATGATACACATCTTTCCAACTCCTAGACAGGAAATTGGTAGAACAAAGGGAGTTGTGTATTTTTATAACCTTTGATACAATGGAAAATTGCCCGTCTCAAAGGGTTAAACTGAATTTGTAACCATACCTGATGCCTGTTTCATGTTTTCCACCCTAGGTAAAACTGTTCTTTTAAAAACATTATCACAGGGGTGCTGGAGAGATTACTCAGTGGTTAGAGCACTGGCTGTTCTTGAAAATAAAAAAATACAATTAAAAAACAATCACAGGGTAGGTAAAGGTGTTTGTGGTCAAGACTGATAACCTACCTGAGTTTGATCCCTGGGACACACATGGTGGGAGAAGAGAAACACCACCCTCAAATTGTCCTCTGACTGCCACACACACCCTGTGGCATGCTCATATGCACACTTACACACAAAATAAATGTTATCAATGTAATAATCTTATTTTATCTTTTTACTTCCATGAGCCATGCATATGCATTAAAGAAAATCAGAAGGGGAAAAAAGATGCTAAATAATAAAGATGCTGAAAGGCTCACCACTTAGAAATATTAATAGTTATTGTCATATAAAAACTCTCCATATTTTTCCAAGGTGCGTGGGATCTAGACGTTAAAAGGAAGTGGCACAGGACAGTGAGGAAGATTTTGTAGGAACTGGAAGAGAGGTCAGAAAGCACAAATGGGCGTGGTTAAAGCTGGAGCGTGTACAACTACAGTGCATATTTGTAGGCTTGTACCCCAGAAGACAGGAGACTTAAATGAGGAAAAAGAAGTGGCAGGACAGCAGGGCTCACCCAGCTTTCTCTGGATGATCGCACAACTTACTAACTCACCTAGAAAAGGGGCATTTGATTAGGCTTAAATTAATTCACACTTCAAGTTGTCTTAGTCTGTTTCTTCATTGCTGTGACAAAATACTCTGACCAATACCAACTTGGGGAGGAAAAGGTTTATTTAGCTTACATATCCCAGGTCACAGTTCATCAGGGAGCCCAAGATAGGAACACAGGGTAGGAACCTGGAGGCAGGATCTGGAGCACAGGCCATGGAGGAACGCTGCTTACTGGCTTGCTCTCTGGGCCCCTGGTCAGCCTGCTTTCTTATGCACAGACCCACCTTCCCAGGGGTGGCACCACCCACAGTGGGCTGGGCCCTCCCACATCACTAATCAAGAAGATGCCCCTCAGACATGGCCACAGGCCAGTCCAATAGAGGAAATTCCCCATTGAGGCTCCTTCAACCCAGGTGTGTCAAGTTGACACTAAAGCTATCCATCTCACAAGTATACTTGTTTTTTGTTTGGTTTTGGTTTTGAGGCAGGCTTTGCTATGTAGCACAGGGTGGTCTTGAACTCAGGATCCTCCTCCCTCTGCCTCCAAAGTGCTCACAGGGATGTGCTAGCACACACAACTGTAAGCATCCTTTTGAGTGGTAGTGATGTTTAGTTTAGGTAGGATACTGATGTTCAGTAAGTTATTTTTTATTGGTTTATCCATGATGGTTGTTATTCTCAATAAAATTACATTAATAGGAAATGTTAAAAATGGCATTACACCCACCTGCTAGTCTATGGATACTTTATTTAATAACAGACTATAAGCATCTCTGGAAGCCTTTGATTATTTCGGCAGGACAAATTACTGTGAGTAGAATTGTTGGGTCAAAATGTTGTTTTTGCCTTGGCAGTAAAGCTTGGAAAACATGCTGTCAGATTACTTGAGTGGTAGCACTTGTACACTCCCATTGGCAGTGAAGGAGCTGAGTCTGTGCCCTTGAATCGTCACCAACAGTGCTTACTGCCTTTGTTTCCAAAAGTACCAATTTGATGACAGAAAGTGATAGTTCAATAGTCTTGTTATGTGCATTTTATTCACATGGGAATTAGACACCTGTGTTTCTTTTGTAGCAAACTCCTGGACTATGAACTTGGCTCAATTTTCTATCATGATTGACAGGTCATTTGTTCCTTCTTTTGGAGGCCATGGGAAGTGCTGGGGTAAAATACAGAAAAGACAAGATACATGGACACTAGCTTTTCTTAGTGATTAGTGAGAGTTCCTTGTATCTTAAGGATATTAATCCTCTGCTATAATTTATACAAACAGACTTCACAATCCATCATGTATGTTTTGCTTAGAATATCTTTGATGTGGCGGCTGGAGAGATGGCTCAGCAGTTAAGAACACTGACTGTTCTTGCAGAAGACCCAGGTTCGAATCCCAGCACCCACATGGAAGCTAACAACTGTCCATAACTCCAGTTCGAAGGGATCCGACCGCCTCTTCTGTCCTCCGTGGGCATTGCATGACATGGGTGCACTTAGTTACATGCAGGCATAACACTCATACACATAAAATAAAAATAATAAATAAAAAGAATATCTTTGATGTTTGGAGATTAAAAAAGAAAACTTCTAAATAGAAAAAAACTTCTGGGGAATATTATAAGAGGAAGTGATATTTCACTCCCTGGTTGAGGAGGTTACAAGCCCATTTGTCTCCTGCCACTGTGATTACAGATGCTCACTGAACCAGTTTGCATTCTGTGGCTGTGATTAAAACACTGACCAAAAACAGCTACGGGAGGAAAGAGCTTACTATTTTGGGTTACAAGTTATAGTCCATCATCAAGGGAAACCAAGGCAGGAGCTCAAGGGAGGAAATGGAGGCAGGAACTGAAGCAGCGATCATGGAGGACTGCTGCTTACTGGCTTGCTCCCAAGCTCATGCTTAGCTGGCCTTCATTATACAGCCCAAGATGTGTGCTGGATGACTTCAGCTGTCAAGTTGACGTAACCTGGGTAGAGGCACCCTTAACTGAGGAATTCCTCCACTGGATTGGCCTGTGGCCATGTCTGTGGGGCATTTTCTTTATGGTTGTGTGATATGGGAGGGCTGGGCCCACTAAGGGTGGTGCCACCCCTGGGCAGGTGATCCTGTGTTGTATAAGAAAGCAGGCTGAGCATAGGGCAGAGGAGCAAGCCAGTGAGCTGCCTTCCACCA